AGTAAGTGCTAGCGAAGCGGGCGTGGGAAGCTGTCCTCAGTGCCGGTTTTCTGGCTCTGCACGGGCCAGAGCCTGCCCGCGGGTGGCGTGCATCAGATCGCGGCCAGCGCCACTGGAACTGGGCGGAGGACACCGGGCTAGGCGGATGCCTTCCCGAGAGGGTGGGAGAAAGTAAATCGTCAGGCGAGGTGGCCTCGGGGAGGATCCGGCGAGACGGCCAGCACTTTCGGTGGCTGAAGCGAGTCCTGCGGGGCGCCTACGTCCAGCTCCCCCTCCTCCCCGGCCCGCCCACAGCGGGCGAGATCCCGGAGAGTCGAACCCAAACTGAGAAATGCTGGGGCGGGGCTGAGGTGAGGGCCCGCAGTAGCCAGAGTTTAGACCAATCAGCCCTCGGCTCCACTTGTCTCGACCAATAGGAAGTGGGCTAAGGCGCAGAGGCGGAAAGTGTGGCTACATGAGCAGGCGTCAGAGCCAATCAGCCGTGGGCCTCGTTCTCGTTGTGCAACCAGCGGCAAGAGCGGGTATGTGGGCGGGAGGCCGGAGCAGCTGTCAGGCTAAAGTCCGGCGAGCGACGCGCGGGGACGACGGGAGGAGACGCGGCGCCCGGCCGGGCCCCGGAGATGGTCCCCGGCGCCGCGGGCTGGTGTTGTCTCGTGTTCTGGCTCCCCGTGTGCGTCGCAGCTCACGGTGAGCGGCAACGGGCGGGTCTGCGCTGCGGGGCGGGGCTGGCCGTCCAGCTTGCGCGTGTCTCGGGCTGGGGGCCACGGGTCACCTTGGGGATCCCGCGAGTTCAGAGCAGGACAGGTCTGAGGACGGGCGGCTGGAGAGAGTGGGTGCTGGTCCCCAGGGACATGAGCTGGGCGCAGCCTGAGGCTGAGCTCTGAGTCCTCAGCTTCCCACGTCCAAGCAGGTCCGCGAACCTCCCCCGCCTCCCCACCCGCTAGCACCGACCCAGGTAACTTAGGGTGAGACCAGGATGAGGCACAAGGGACAACTAAAGATGCTACAAGCTGGAGATATATATGTGAGCATTCACATATATATACAGGAGCACACATTCCTACACGTGGGCTCACACGCACAAACGTAAGTACCCACAACTGGTTGCACCTACACGAGTAGATAAACCCACAATTTATACAGATAAGCACAAGCAAAGGCAAGCAAGGATGTGTGGGGGGAGAAGTGGAAGTTTACCACTAATCCAGGAAGGCTTCCTGGGGGCGTACCTGATGGGGAGCCCCACTTCCAGGACAAAAATCTATATAGCTAAGTACTAAGTCAGTGGAGTTCTACTTGGTGGCTGTGATTTGGACAGTAAACAAGGACAGCTAAAGCCACAACCATTCCCAACCCTAGCACATAGTGGTGGCTCAGTAATTTGTTGATTGACTAATGGACCTGTGGCAGCAGCTTTTATCCTTCAACATTCCTCAATCTCTCTGGGCTAAGGAAACCAGGACTCAAGTCCAGGTGAAACATTAAACACCAGTGCTGAACAGAAGTTTCCATACCCCCAGAAAAATCTAGTTCTTCTGGCAACTCTCTTCCTCAGTGGAGATGGACACAGTTGTTATTTATTCATTCAACCTTTATTGAGTAGCCACTATGCTAGGCTCTGGTGATTCAGTATTGAATGAAGCTACAAACTTAAGATCCTTGCCCTAGTGGAAGAGACACACATTAAACAATTACGAATCCTGTATAATTAAAAATTATGTTGAAATATCAATTGAAATAAATAGTACATTTGAATGGGTTTAGGGGAGGGCAATCATGAGGCAGAAGCTTTCTCTGTGAAAGTGACATTTAAGCTATGATCTGAAGGATGACTAGAAGTGAGCCAGGTAAAGTGGTGGCAGGGAGGTGGGAGTAGGGAGCCTTCCAGGTAGAGGGAACAGCTTGCAGGAAAACCCAGAGAAATGAAGGAACTGAAAGGCGGCCAGGGTAACTTGAACATAGGAAGGAGATAAGATTGGAGTAGTGGCCAGGGGCCAGATCAAGCAGGGCCTTGTAGGCCACCATTAAAAGTTTAGCTTTTAAGTGCAAAGGGAAGTCGTTGAAGGATATTGATGCCCTGAGCATGGTGATATGATTATAATTGCTAAGATGGTTTAAGATCTCAAGTTGTTTGGGGAATGGACCTTAGGGAGTAAGAATGGAAGCAGGTAGACCAGTTAAGAAGCTGAACAGTCAGGAAGAGATGATAGTGACTGGACTAGAGGTATGGCAGTGGGACTAGAAAGTCAACTTTTAAGTTTTTGGGAGAACCGTTTTGTACTTGGGCCACTACATCTCTAACCTGAAACTTCCAGGTCTTCAGAGCAAAAATGGATTAACCTAGAGCTCTCAGTCTTCCTGGCTCACCTATTATGCAGCAGCAGGTGCTCTAAACCTCTGGGGTTACTAACTCTGTCTGCATCAATTTTATCCTCCCCAGGGCAAAGACCATCTATCCCACCCACCTGGGGGATCCAACCAGCTGTAGCTGGGGCCCTGGACCCAGATTATAGCCACCCAGTTGAAGACACAGGTCTGTGATCTGAACATCAACCAGCTCATTCCCAGGAGACTTCTCACCTGTACTCTTTATCTTTCCAGGCTTCCGCATCCATGATTATTTATACTTTCAAGTGCTGAGTCCTGGGGACATTCGATACATCTTCACAGCCACACCTGCCAAGGACTTCGGTGGTATCTTTGTAAGTTCAGAGAGGCCCCTGATCTCTGATCCTCAGCCTCCCCCTTCCCCTCTCATCCCATCTGAGTGCTGAGACAGGCAAGGGAGCAGAATCCAGCTGTCCTCCAGGAGCTGCAGAAAGGAAGCACTTCCAGCTACTCCCCTGGGTATAACTTAGACCTGCGCACAGTGGAGGGACAAGCTGTTTCCTTGGGGGACATGAAATAATGAAATACCAAGGGCACCAGTTTCTTCTGCCAGCTTTAGCTCTGAACTATGTGACTTAAGGCAAGTCACTTCCCCTTTCTGGGTCTATAACCAATTCCCCTACCTATCTCATGGAAAGGCAGGGTAGGGTAGGACAACCAGATAGGCCTTTGTGAGAATTAAGTAAAAATGCTCAAGTGCCTGGCAACATAGAAACCACTCGACATTTCCTTCACACTTTATGAGGTGCCAGTAAGATGGGATTGTCAGCCCAGTCCTAAAGCCGATGTGTCTGTCTCCTTACACTCTCACCTCCAAATGTCTAAACGTTTTTCAGCACACAAGGTATGAGCAGATTCACCTTGTCCCTGCTGAACCTCCAGAGGCCTGCGGGGAACTCAGCAACGGCTTCTTCATCCAGGACCAGATCGCTCTGGTGGAGAGGGGGTAAAGAGTGGGCAGGCACGGGCAGATTCTGAGATTATTGGTGGTGGTGGTGCTTTGAAATTGCTGTTTTTGAATGACTCGTATTTTTAAGGGTCTTTAAGAAATGTCTTAAGGTTATCCATACTTTTGGCTATTTACTTACAAGCCTTTATAACAAATTCTTCATAGTCCTTCTTCCATACTCCCAGGGTGATGGTCTGGGGGAGAGTAGCTAGGACCTGTCTTTCCTTTGGTCTCATCAACACCTCTTCCAGGGGCTGTTCCTTCCTCTCCAAGACCCGGGTGGTACAGGAGCACGGCGGGCGGGCAGTGATCATCTCTGACAACGCAGTTGACAATGACAGCTTCTACGTGGAGATGATCCAGGACAGTACCCAGCGCACAGCTGACATCCCTGCCCTCTTCCTGCTCGGCCGAGATGGGTGAGGGCTCCTTGTCTCTGGCTGTGTCAGCACCAGGCTGGGTACCATGACTTGGGGAGGTCAAGGGTAATCACCAGTCCCTTCCAACGGGCCTCATCTTGGGGTGCCTCAGATGAAGGGCAAAAAAGTTCTTGGGCTTTGGAATTCCCAGAGTGGTGGGGACAGTGGGGCATGATGGGATGCCAAGAAAGTGACCATTGCCACCTCTCTTCATGCTCTCCCAGCTACATGATCCGCCGCTCGCTGGAACAGCATGGGCTGCCATGGGCCATCATTTCCATCCCAGTCAATGTCACCAGCATCCCCACCTTTGAGCTGCTGCAGCCACCCTGGACCTTCTGGTAGAAGAGTTGGTCCCACATTCCAGCCATAAGTGACTCTGGGCTGAGGAGGAGGAACCCAGGAATTTTGCTATTTGAAATTTGGGGACAGCATTTAGGGACAAGTGAAGTCAGGTAGAGGAAAAGGGTTTAGGCCTTGGCTAGGCTGAGGGAAGCCACACCACTGGCCTTCCCTTCCCCAGGGCCCCCAAGGGTACCTCATGCTATAGTAAGAGGCAAGAGCTAGGCCCCAGGCTTCTGGCTAAAATCTGGAACAAAAGGAGCTAAAGGCAGACAGCCTGAGAGCCATCTGTGACCTGCCACATCCCACTTGGCTCCAGCATCTCCTACCCAGGGTCTCTTCACAGTGACCTTTACAGCAGTTGTTGGAGTGGTTTAAGGAACTGGTGTTTGGGGACTCAATAAACCCTCACTGACTTCAGCAATAAAGTTTCTCATCAGGGTTGCAACTGTGTCCTAGAGTAAGAGCACACGGGTGGCAAGGGCCTTCAAACTCACTCATCTGGTCCCATACCGTCGTTTTGAGGGAAGGAAACTGAAGCCCAGAGAAGACAATGACTTGCCCAGGGTCCTTTAGGACCAGTGTTCAGGCTGTTAGTCTTGGATCCCAACACAGCCTCCTACTCAAGAGCTCAGGAAGCCCCAGTTCAGCCACCTGGGGAGAAGACATCTTGTAGCCTAGAACAAGGGATCCAAACTGGACCTCAGAGGACCCTTGCTCTTGGGCTTTAGAATATCCACAGCAGAGTGCAGAAAAGAGCAGATGAGCCCAAGCTGGGGAGCCTGGAGCTTCCGTTTCCTGCCATTGCCTGGTCCAACCTGTGCCCCTTTGCACCTACCTATGTGACTGCTGTGTGCCCTGGGCAGCCTGTCCAGCCACTTTCCACAAAGTATTCCTGCAAAGGCCTGTCACCACTCACATTTTATTGAGAAAAGTGGGCAGGCTGTGGTGGGAAGGGGTGTTGGCTGCTGTGGAGTAAAAACAGGGGGCCAGACAGGCGGGTTCCACCTGGCTCCATGGTCCAGACAAGGACCTGTGGGGTGGGCACCTGCCCTCCCTGGGATCCCTCAGCAAGATGTGGTAGGCCCCTCCAGGAAAGGAAGGCACCAAGAATGATGGGTTGTTGTTCCCATAGCATCCAAACCAAGAGTGAGAGGAGGGTGGTGCTAATCCACAGAAAGGAGGGGACACAGTCAGGGCTAACCTCTAGCCTAGCTCCTCTAGTTGTCTGGAAGACTTCAGTGTTCCTCTGTGGAGATCCTAAAGATGGAGACTGAGGCCAGGAGAGCCTCTTACTGACCCATTTTAACTGGCCCCAGGGAAGACTTGACCATCCTCAATTAAGGAGCACAGTCCTGTCAACCCCCAAGTCTCAGCCATGCTGCTAGAGAGCTCAGTGGGAAGAAGGTGTGACAAAGGGTGATGAGCCCCCACATTCCCCACCTGAGCAAGGCAGAGGCTTCTTCCTATCCCACAGGGCCAGCCACTGTGCCAGGGCCTGAGAGGCAAGGGACAGAGATTCTGGAGTCTGGGGAAGGGGTTAATCTCCACTTCCCCAGATGTCCAAATGGTGGGAGTGGAGGGGGAAAGGGGGAAGTAATTCCCCTGATCCAGTGTTCCCCACTAGACAGCCTTAGGAAGGGGCTCAGGAGGCTGGATCCTTCTGCCTGCCTCTCCTCGCTGGGCTCGTGGTCAAGCTACAACTGTGGTAGGTGGGAGGTACGGAAGTAGGTGAGGACACCTTACTACACCTTACTATTGAAGCAGAATATTCTGCTTCAATAAAATTGTTCTGTCCCTCAATTTGCCATATTGTTACCCCCCTCAAAATGAATCAATAGCAAGTTGAGAGGGGAGAAGCCTCAGGTGGATGGGTGAATGTGGGCTATAGGGCCAAGGGGAGGAAACACTGTTAGGCTCTGACCTGGGTTCCAGCCCCTCCAACCCTAGAGTGGAGTGAGCTCAGGGGGAGGCTGGTTCTGAAAGGCTCAGTGACAATGCAGAGCATAAGCCAACTCAGCAGCAGTGTATAGGGCATGAGGTCTGGTGGGGGTTGGGGGCCTAGGGTCCAGCCTCTATCCTACCCTCTGGCAGGGAGAGCTGGAACAGGGGAAAGCAGGCAATGGGAGTGAGGAGTTCTTTCCAAGCCTCTTCTCTTGGGGAAGGGCCCCCTTTCACAGCAGGGTCTGGGGCAGAGCTCCTTCCGGGTAGGGCAACATCACACATCAGTCATCTCATCCCCTAGCTCTGCATCTTCCGGCTCTCCTTCCTCTTCTTCTTCCTCTTCCTCCTCTGAGGTCACATTGGGTTCATCGGCCTCTGCCAGGCATTTGGGACAGGAACAGATAAACAGATAGTTCTCCCTGCAGAGGTGGCACAAGGGGGACGGCGACAAGTCAGGCATCCACTGGGATGGAGGACCCAGAGCCCAGCTGCCCAACCACGTTCCCAGCGGGCACCTGAGGATCTTGTGGCGGCTGTGGCGGCTGCGTTCCCGCTGACAGCAGTCTAAGTAGCTGATACAAATTTCCTGTAGGGCAGAGAAGTGGGGTCTGATGGTCTGTGCTCTGTATTAGATGGGATAAAGGCCTCCCCCAATACCTGCCCTCTCTCCAACCACTGCCCCATCTTCAGGACTCAGGTCTCAGCTGCCCTTCAGCGAAGGGGTGGGCTGCCCTGATCCAGTACCCTGTGCCTTCAGCAGGCAGGCCACTATAAGGCTCCTGTGTCCTAATCTGTGTCTGAGACAGAGAGGTGACTGCAGTTAGCCTCAGGACATGGTGAAAGACAGCCAATGGCCAATGTCTGTGGCTAGGATCAGAGGTTATCTTGGTGTGATGCTACTTGCTCTGGAAAGAGATTCAGCCAGGCTTTGCGCACTGTACTAACAGCCAACATCCCAAACCAACACTAGCCTGCCAAGGCCCAAGCCACAAAGAGCTATCTCCTGCTTTCTTAGAAACTGCAGATTGTTGACCAAAACGTAGCTGAGGACAAGAACCTAGACACGCAGCTGTCCCTCAAATGCTGCTCTGAGGCATTCTGGAGTTATATTTTTAAAGAGAGTAGGGTTATAACATAGCCATGGGCCAAAACAGTGGTCCCCAAACTTTTTGGCACCAGGGACTGATTTCATGGAAGACAATTTTTCCACAGACACGGGGGGACAGTCAGGATGATTCAAGAGCATTATATTTATTGTGCAGTCAAACCTCCCTGCTAATGATAGTCTGCATTTGCTGTTGCTCCCCAGTGCTAGCATCACCACCTTAGCTCCACCTCAGATCATCAGGCATTAGATTCTCATAAGAAGAGTACAACCTAGATCCCTCGCATACGCAGTTTATGATAGGGTTCTTGCTGCTATGAGACTCTAATGTCACCACTGATCTGACAGGAGGTGGAGCTTATTTACTGATTCAAGTGATGGAAAGCTGCTGTAAATACAGATGAAGCTTCACTCGATTGACCCTCCTGCTGTGTAGCTGGATTCCTAACAGGCCACAAACCTAACTAGTACCAGTCCACAGCCTGGGGGTTAGGGACTGCAGGGCTAAAAGACTCAGGCCCTGGGGCATGTGGGAATCCGACCCAACAGCCTGAACTTTAAGGGGCTCTAGCCACTGCTGCCCCTAATCCCTGGGGATAACTTCCAAGGCCCACTGCCCACCCAACCCCTCATAGCTCCTGGCCCCCCTCACCTCTCCTGGCTTAATATCCTCCAGGGCGGTGACATGCAAAAGGAAGTTGTTTTCTGGGAAGGAGGTCTCTGCATTGGGGACACAGCTGTGGTTGCCTGGGTCACAAGAGGCAGATAATAATAAGGATTATTAACTAAAAAAAAATAATAGCTTCAACTCTGCAGAGCAATGGGTCTCATCCTTTCTTAGTCTCTTATCCCTGCCAGGGCTGAACAGATACTAGAACCCAAGTTTCCTGACTCCCCATCCAGTGCTCTTTCTTGAAGGCCACAGAGCCCAGGCACGATGCACTGCCACATCACTCCCCATTCTAGCCTCTCATGACTGGCCAACTTCATTCTCCGTTGTGTTCCCATTGTCTCACAAATGGAGGGACAGGGCTGGAGGGATGCCTATACCAGACCACTGAACTCAGTTCTGTTTGCTATTGAGCATCTGGTAATGGCTGACTCAGGCTCCCTGAGCACCCAGTTTGGTAGGGGTAGTGTGGCACTGGAGCCTGGGAGGAGTTTGCAGGGAAGAAACCAGAGGGTGGGAGGCTGAGATCTGGAAAAGATAGTTTGTCTGAGTGACTTCCCCCCTCCATCAGGTGCTTGGTGAGACCCACCTTCTGGGCTGAACTCCCTCTTCCCAGGATCCTTAGGGCCTCTCAGCCTCTCCCAATATTCCCTATCAAATCTCACAGGGCAGTGATGGTGCAAAGTCCATGCTTCCCTTTGCAAGAATCAGAGCTCTGTGCCTGCCTTCGCACAGGGCCTGGCCCACTGTAAGGTTTTATATATAAGCATATATTAAAGCCCGAGCAGTTGGATGAATGAATGAAACAATAATGGAACAAGAAGGCCCAGGGGAATTCCCTAGGAAACTCAGACCTAACCCTGTTCCAAGACTCCACCCTACCAGCCTACAAAGGGCCAACTGAGAAAGATGAACTGTGGCTGTGAGGCCACCTGGCAAAGGCAGAAACACCTGGGACCATCCCTCCTCAATGCCGTAACTCACAGCAGCTCTGAAGCACAAAGAGGCCAGATCCTTCACAGTTAAGAAACTCGCCGGTTGCTGTAAGACAGTAATATGCAGACATTATTCTACCCATTTTACAGGTGGGAAAAGGAAACTAGGCTCACAAGGATAGGCACTGGCTCTACTGTCCTGCCACCCCACCACACTAATGCACCCAGTCCCTACCACTTTACCTGAACTTGCTTCTCTGAGACACAAACCTTGCTTTTCTGTCTATGACATCACCCTATTTTCCAGCACTCCCCCTCCTCCCAGCATCAAGCTTCTGCATGGATCGTGGGGCCATTTCTCAATGTGTGTCCTGTGGACAGATCTGAAGCTCTGCACAGGCACATAGGGATTACCTTCCCGCCCCTCAGCCCCCCATTAACTCAGAGTACCCTGGGGACAGACTGGGTGTCCCCCATCTGCCTGGGGGTTCTCTAAGGTTGGGTGAGGCCAAGGCCCCATCTCACCAACCTGCCTCGATGTCCTTGTACAGCTGGTCAATGAAAGCATCCAGCTGCTCGCGGTCCTGAGGCTTCAGCTCCAGAGCGTCACAGGCATGGACCCACTGGCTCAGGGAGCTGGGGGTCCCAGGCAGCCCGTGGTTGGAGAGGAGGAAGCCCAGGTCACAGGGCTCTCCACCTCCAGGCAGGTTAAGCCCAGGAAGAAGGGTCTCCCACCCCTGCCCCATTTTTTCTCCAGGGTAGGGGCCCCATCTTCCCTAACAGTCCAAGGCTCCCAAGAGCAGACTCCACTGCCTCATTCTTTCTGACTCCCCACCACTGTATCCAGTTCAGCCCTCTAGCCACAGAGTCACACCCTACCCCGCCCCAGTCTTGAGAGGCACTGTGGCTATCTTCCTCAATCTCTCACCCAATCCCTGAGAGATAAGTCCAACAGCTCTGGAATATTCTCTCCTAACCTAGTCCCAATTCCTTGGCCATTGGTCCCAACGAGAGCAAAGAGAGATCGGAATCCATCTGGAGTGAACCACTGTGGGGGAGAAAGAGAGGAGATGAGTGCTCAGGTTACAGCCACTTGCTTTTCTCCTAACACGACTCTATTCAGGAAGTCTTCTGTGAGTCAGGCCCATCCCAACTCTAGAAGACTAAGCTGGCTTTGGCTTAGCTTCCCCAGGAGGAGATGCTGACCCAGCTGCTTCTGGAGAACTAGAGGGACAAGGCTGCCATTGTTCCTGCCCTCCCCACACTCACCTGGCTGAGTGCTTCCTCATAAAGGGCCTCAGTGAAGAGTCTCCGCAGAAGGTCCAGTTGGCTCTGGTTTAGGGGAAGCAGGGAGAGACTTGCATCCCTGGAATTTCCCATTATACCCAGGCAGGGCCCAGAAGACCAGGAGAGGGAAGAAAAAAGGGCCAGCTCTACAGACTGAGCTTTCCCTGGGGGCAAAGGAAGGCCGCAGAGTCCTATTTCCAAAGAGTTTTGGCAGTCCACTGGCATGCTCCAAGCCAAAATTTCTCCTCATTTTCCAGCACTTGTACTAGCAAGGCTGAGGCAGCCTGGCTTAGAACATCTGTCCTCATCACCATCCTCAAAGCTCTCCTGACCCAGCTCCAGAGCAGTAGGCTCTCCCCTTCCTTTCCACTGAATTCAACACAGGAGGGCCCACCCATCCTAGATGCATCCTGCCTCCACCCTCAGGCAGCTCCTGTGTGGAAAGTCTGCTGTCCTCAGTGAGAATCAGTACTCTGATTGGGAATGGGCGCTCAGTACATTGGCAGTTTCACGCTACTCTCTGACTCTGTGGACCCCAACCCTCCATCCTACCTGATGTGCCCACTGCTCTATCCTATGACGGGAGTTCTGCCTTTCTACAACATGTACAGAGTGCTTTCAGGGCAGAGGGTTCTTCTGTCACCACTCTACTTTCCCACTTTCCAACTGTAGGGCCACATTAGGTCATGAAGTTAAATAGTGGCCAGAATGTCTCTGAATCAATTTTTGGGCCCAGATTCTAACCCATTCCTATAGCTGGGAATGGATCAAATGTGGAACTCCCCATAGGAGTTCTCTCTAGCCAGAGACATCCTAGGCTATTTGGGGAAGGCAGAGCAGGGGGGAAATAGGTCATCAGAAAAGACTAACCTTGAATTTGTCCCCCAGGAGTTTGTGGACAATTTCCTCCTCCTCATTGGCAGTTTTGTTACAGAACTGGGAGAAGAGCCTGATCCAACGGTCCTTATCCTTAGCCTGCAGTGAACAAATATACTTAAGGGTCATGGACACCCACCTTATCACTGGTACTCCCGGCCCATGTGGGAGGGGCAGCCTGTTTCAAAAGCCCCTGCCATCAGGGAAATCCCACTACAGCTGAGCTTCCAGGGCCCTTCCTCTGCCTGAGGCTTCCTCCCCAAGCTGCCCAGCCCCACCAATTCCCCAGAGGGAGCTGAGCTAACCAGTTCAACGACACTTGGAAAAACAGGAGAATGATGCTGACTAACAATATTAACAGAAGGCGGTTGGAGTGCCTTCTGTCACTTTAGGTAAGATACGATCCTGAAAAAGTGCTTGTAAATCGAATGCATAGGTTGCTGCTGCCCAAGACATCTTCTTGTACATCAAAGTCCAAATGAGCCCCTGCTCCCCCACTCCCCACGTCTGATTTATGTCGTGCATACTCCTAAGATTTTACATGGCAAGCAACTCTCTTTTGTGAAGGCCAGGAAGAATTCTGCATCCGAGCTAGGGCCTTGAGGTGAAAAAGAGACCAAGACCAAGGGTTGAATAGGACCAAAGTCAACTCCCCAGGAGGGTCAGGTGGACTCACCTGCTTCACTGTGGCCACCATCCGGGCCATCAGCATGATGCTTGCTGTCTCAGGGGGGTAATGAACACTCCTGGGGAAAGAGAAAAAAAGTTTTGCCTAGAAATTCCTTCCCTAGTAGCTGAGCCCAGGGAAACCCAGTCTGACTGGTACAGAGAAACCTTCCCACCAATTCCATCTATTACAAAGAGAGAAAGTCACAGGCGGGGACTCAGGCAGGACTTGGCATGCCCCTGGGCTTAATGGGGCTCTTTCTGGGAGTGTGTAAAATGCTGAGGATAGCAGGACTGGCAGCCCAGATTAAAGGCAGAGGGTTGGGAGATGTGACTTCTATTTAACCCTAAAAATGGAGAAAAAATATGGGGCAAGGTAACTTAAGAAAGATGGCAAGATCTGCTGAGCCCAGGCAGGCAAGCAGGGAGGGAAGGATAACGGAAAGAAGAGATGAAAAAAGACCTACCTCCATGCCTCCTGCAGCTTATTGAGAGGATGCAGGGGGTCATCCTGGGAGGGGCCAGGGCACAGAACCTGGTGGTATTGCTCAGCAGCTGCCAGCCGACATTCTGCACTGCAGTACATCACCTGTTAGGTGGGGTGAGGTCAGAGCCCCAGGATCTGCCCATGGGGTGAGGGGGACAAGGCACAGACATCCCATATGGTACCCACCTCTTCTAACTGCATTTCTTCCACAAAGAGCCCCTGAGCCATAGCCCAGAGGTATTATGAAATGAGAAAACATAGGGTACTCTGGGGCCACGTGCAAAGTGCACCTAACCTAGGCTTGTAAAACCACAGAAAGGGAAGAGAACTTTTCAGGTAGAGGGGAGAGCACCTGCCAGGCCCTCAGGAAGAGGGCAAGCTCCCAGAAAGCCCATTTTCTAGACAATGGAACTGGGACAGGAAAGATGAAACTGTAACAATAACCAAGCCTTTTCAATGTCTTACCCCTACACTGTAGCTTTCAAGGGCCATGACCGGTCTGTCTTTGCTCCTGTCTCTCCAATGAGGACTTCAGCTAAGGCCTCCCTCGCCCACCCCCTTTCAGGTGAATTCCCCAGACATGCTCACCTGGCAGTGGGGACAGTTCTGGTGGAGGTCCTTATGCACAGTGCACAGCTCTGGGTGAGGCAGAACCTGGCCTGGTTTCCCAGTCAGCCTCTGGGCATTCTCCTCAGCCTTCTCCAGTGCCCGAAGGCAGTGGTCACAGGCTGAAGGTGAGAGCCAGACACGACAATATAAGTGTCTCGACAGCAGGGGCCACATCTGTCCTTTTCACAGATACATTCTAGTGTCTACAGGGCTAGAATGCCCAGCACACAGCGAGTGCTCTATAAAAATTTGGGACGTGAATGAATGACTACATTAAGGAATAGAATGAATGAATGAAATTTACATGCATCCAAGGGTGGATGATCCTCCTCCCTTTCAAAGACCCCCTAATCCCTACTGTCTGACTCTCCCTACTTCTCAATCAGACCCACTCTGTGGGGCTGCCCCCAACTACCCCCAGACTGGGCTTTCTTCATCCTCTGCAGCCAACTGACCCTCTTTTCATGGTGTGTCTCTAGCTTAAGAAAAGTGTGAAAAAAAGCATGTGGCCAGCAAAGCTAAGGGCATCCTACTTGCTTTGGAATCCTAACTCAGCCTTCTCTGAACAAAGGCCATGTGGCCTCCTCTTGGTGGAGGGCTCCACTTTGGCACAGAGCCCTTCACCATGACATCCAGTCCCTCATACTATGGGGCCAGACTCTGAGTCCTGCCTGAGTGACATCCTCCCCGAGGGAGCATGTCAGAAGAGCCTCCTAGTTCTCAGGCAGAGTTCTCCAAAGGGAGACAGCATTTCCTCCCAACACCTGGAGTCTCGGAGACATCAACCAGTAGGGACATATACTGTCTTCTGTGCACAAAGGCAACTGGGCCCAGCAGCCATGGAGGAGTAGGCAAGATGTGCTCACCTCGGTAGCGATAAAGTGCATTCCAGAGAAATTGCGCAGCCACCAGGGGCCGTTCTACGAAGATAGTCTCCCCTTTCCGGATCAACTGTGTGGCGAACAGCCCCTTTCCCTAAGAGGGTAGAGAGGGAAGAGGATGGCCCTAAGAAGGGACAGAGGACATAGCTCCAGGAGCTCTGAAGAGGCTGTTCTGCCTCACCCTGACATGCCTCCCTCTTAGCAGAGGCCTCTACCTCTGAGGGCTCATGAAGAGTGGTCAGCACCCTCCACAACCGCCTCCTCTGGAAATGCAGCTCTGACTTACAGTTGCACCTCTTTCAGCCTATTCAGAGCAGAAGGCCTGGGACAGGGCAGGAATCACCACGGCAGCCATCTCAGACTACTCGGAGGAGGAGAATTTTGGGGATGGCCAGAGTGGGGCCAAGGCTCATAGCAGGCTGGAGCCTCCTATACCAGAGGCTGGTAACAGCAGAGCAGCCTTCCCTGAGTCACCCGTGTGCCCTTCCAGGATCCTGGCAGTAGTGCTGCTGCTCAGGGTTGCAGAGAAATCCTACGCCATGGAAGAGGGAGGCCGAGTTTGGGGGAAATGTGCCCTCTTCCTCGGTCAGCTGGGTACCCATGGCACCTAGCACAGTGCATAGCACTGCTCAGGGGTTACACTGAAAGAAATGAGCTAATCCTAGCACCAGTCCTACTGTTAACTTGCTGTGAACATTTGAGCCAGTTGCTTCACTTCTTTGCATCTGTTTCCCATATGAAAGGTGAGTATTATAATAACACTCACCAGGTAGTTTCCAGGATGCAATGATATAGCACAGATGAATGAACATCATGAGCTAGCTCTACTTCCTTACTACTCAGTGTGAGGTGCATGGACTGGTAGCATAGGTATCACCTGGGACACTGTTAAAAATGCAGAATCTCAGGCCCCACCCCAGACCTGCTGAATCAGAATCTGCATTTTAACAAGATTCCCACGTGATTCATATGCATGTTAAAGTTTGAGAAGCACTGGTCTAAAATACTATATACATCATGTAAACGATGAAGGATGAGAAAACAACCGCTGAATTGCCACCTCTCAAATGTGCAAAAAGACTCAGGAGATGGCTTCAGAGCCCAGGCAGCTATTGGCCTTGCTCAACACTTACTCCCCCTACTCAGAGAAGAGGATTGGTGCTCTGCCAACACTGAGCTGCCACAACCAAGGGAAAGGAAAAAAACAACACAGCAGTGAAATGTCCTGTCACTGTAGCCTCCCAGGCCGCTCCCTGCTTCCTTCTAGCACTGCTGCTCTGGTCTGACAGGGGTGCCTCCAAACCCAGAGTGGCAGGGGTGTGTGGACCAGGACAAGCCCTGAACGACCCATGAGCCACAAATCTCAACCCTATGAACAACTATGGGACCTCTTCGTAATAGTATAATGGAACAGGTGAAACAAAACCATGGGGCAAACCCGCAGACACACCCTTGACTGTCTTCCTGGAAGCCCCTCTCCTATGCCTTGCAGCCCTGGGACCCAATCTAGCAAAATGAAAACTTGGCCTTCCTCTGTGGGATAAAATGATATAAACAGGGACCCACTTAATCTCTGACAATCTCAAATCTCAATCTCCCTCTCCCTCTTTCTGGAGGACCAAATACAGATAATATTTAGTAACCAAGGGAAAAGAATCAACGTTATTCCTTTATAAAGCCCCTCATTTCCAAAACAAATGAAAGTATTTCAAGAAAAACAGCTCTAATTCATAACATCAAGAAGCCTGGAGAGCACTGAACCTTAATGGAAAGGGGACAAACCATACAAACATATTTCAAATTTGAAAAAGAAATTTTAAGAAAAGATCATGAAAAATTCTAAGACGATGCAGTAATTTTTTTTTTTTTTTGAGACAGGGTCTCTGTCACCTGGGCTAGAGTGCAATGGCATGCTCATAGCTCACTGCAACCTCAAATTCCTGGGCTCATGTGATCCTCCTGCCTCAGCCTCCAGAGTAGTTAGGACTACAGGCCCATACCACCTTGTATGGCTAATTTTTTCTATTTTTAGTAGAGATGGGTCTCACTCTTGCTCAGGCTGGTTTCCAACTCCTGACCTCAAGCAATCCTCCCCAGCCTCCCAAAGTCCCAATATTACAAGCATGAGCCACCTCACCCTGCCTTGCAGTAAATTTTAAAATCTTGATTAAATGGATTATTTTCTAGAAAAATACAAATGAACAAAACTGAATTTGAAAGGAAGACAGCTGCCAATAAGCCATGTTGATACCTGGCTTGTGTGCACCACTATAGCAGTCCAGCTGGCATCCACGGGACCTGGTCAGGTTTCTGTTCTGATTGGTCATGTCCCTGGCATGACAGTTGGTAAATTTTTGAAAAGTCATTCCTGCCAATATCCATAGAAGCATTAAAAAGTGGTCAGAAAGTACTACCACATGAGGCCTCAGTCTGTATGAATTGGTTTCATGAGCCAATTCTCTCAAACCTTCAAAGAATAAAAAATTCTCATGCTATTTAAACTATTTAATGACAGAAAAAAAATGGACAGCTTCTCCATTTTACCAAAAAACAAGCATACACACAAAGAAAAAAAAAATCACAAACCAATCTAACTTGAATACAGATGCAAAAGGCCCGGGATAATCCATCTTGTGACCAAGTCCAGGTAGGTATGTGATTTTCTCCAGCAACAGGCAGGGAGAGGACAATCAGCTGGACCCTTAGTAGAAGGCTGGGACAGGACAAATGTGCAAGGAGAGTGGTTGAAGTGATAAAGAGGGGAAAAAGTGAAGAAGGAGAAGGCCGAGAGATTGGGGGTTAATGAAGATAAAGATGAATATCACTGCAAACTAGGAGTGATAGAACTGAGAACCCTTCAAACTATGGGCCACCCGGGAGCACTAGAGGTCCTGGGTAGAGATGGAGATAAGAGCAGCTAAGGAAACCAAGGATGTAAGGGAGCTGATTTACTGGGAAGGACAGGAGTGCTCCAGATGCCTCTGGAATAGAAAGAAGGCAAGGGAAGTTGGGTTGAGAAACTGGATCAATATGATAATGCTGACAGCAAGTGACAGATGACTAGAGGGCTAACATCTTGGGCAAGGACTAAAGATACACACAGCCATTACAAATAAATTATTCATCCTCATGAGTAACCAAAGAAACGAAAACGAGAACAAAGCAATACCATTTTGCACACGTCAATTTGCAAAGATAACTAGGAAAGAAAACAACGCAGGAGAGAACAGAAAATGAACAGAAAATGAACTCTAAGGCCTTTGACCCCAAGGATGAAAAATAAGTAACAATAAAGGGCCCATTAATAAGGGATTAGTTGAGTGAACTGCGGCCCTCCCATGGAAGAGACTATTCTATTCAGTTCTTAAAAATTAACATGTAGAAATAGGTTTATTAACATTGAAAGATTCACTGCTGCAACAAAAGGCGGCTCTTAAAAATATAATATTAATATACACATATTTGTACAAGTGTAGAATTATGAGTGATTTTTATCTTTCCTTTCCTTACATGCATTTTCTATTTTTATCCACAGTGAACTTTTAAGACGCGGTAATAAAATGACAAAATCATTACACTTTTCTACTAAAAACCTTTCAAATGCTCTCATGGCCTTGGGGTTCTGGTCCAAATTCCTTAGCACTCCAAGGCCCTTTGTGAAGGGTCCTGGCCTCTCTTCTCATCCCCACACCCAAATCTCACTCAGAAAGTTCCCAGAGGACCCGCGCTTTTTGATACTTCAGTTCTCTCTGCCTAGCACGTCCCTACCCACGGCTCCAGGGGCCCAACAGCAAAGCCCCCAACCTGGGCCAGGAGGCCTGGGACCCCCCCCAGCCCCGCCCCCGAGCAGGCACAGCAGGGCCTCTGCCTGGCGGGTCGGGTTGCGCCGGGAGGGGAAGCGCAAGGAGACTGTGGAAGCCCAGGTCAATCGCGTGACCGCGCCAGGAGCCTGCGCGTGGGGACACACTGGGAGCCCCCGGGCCGCGAGCAGGGGCCGAGCCGCAGCATCCAAGCGGCACAGGAGCCTCTAGGCTCCGGCCTTGGGGTCCTCGGGGGCTATCTCCAAGGCGGAACGGGGTTGGGGCTCCCAGCCGGATCCGCCTCAGCCTCACCTTGGCGCTGCTCACGAAACGGACTTCCACTGAGACCCGGGCACTGCCCGCCACGCCCACGCAAAAGGAGAACACGTCGCACATGGAGGCCGCCATCTTGGGCGCGCCTCCGCCTTCTGACCCTTGACCCCGACTCGACCTGGGAGGTCCCGCCCCTTTTCAGCCCCGCCCCCGGCGTGAGTGTCCTTGAGGCTGCGACGGTTTGCGCTCTAGTGGGTCTGAATTTAGGTCCCTCGGGTCATTGACTGGGTGTAGCTGGGCCTGTCTTTGTGCTTTTACATCTGTGTATTTTTTGTGTCTATGTCTTCGTGACCAGTATGTACCTCTGTGTCAGAGTCTATGTATCCGTACGTACTTCTGATGTGTGTTTGTGTCCGAGTGCATGATTGTATGTCCGTTATTGTCAGTGTCCACACAGTGGCCTGTCTTAATTGAGTAAAGCACTCTTTGGACCTAGCCCTGGACCAAGGGTTGGGAAAGCAGAAGGCATTTACTCCTATTCTGACCCTCAACCTGAAGGGAAGGACTAGTCTAGTTTATACCCTCAACTCACTCACCCCATCTACAAAGTCCACCGCAAGATTTCCTTTCTCCATAAGCCTTCTGGCAGCAGGGCAGACAATCCAACGGAAAGAGCTACGTGGACTTGTGCCTCTCAGATTTTTCAGAGGCCTGGGGACCTTGCAGCCTGTGGGTAGTGAAAGGGTCCATAGTAGACCTCAGATCTGAGGACCCCTGAAATTGGATGCAGAAGTGAGTGTACATATGCACATTGTCTGAGCAGGGAGAGGATTCTGTTCTCCCATTCAGGACCCCAAAAAGCTGCAAACCACTGATCTACAGCATCTGTCCCAACAGCTAGCCTTGACCATCATGCCTTACTTTGTTTCCTTGTCCCCAACTGATTTTGTGTTCCTTGAAAAGAGATCTGTGTCTGCATCTGCTATAGTCTCATGATGACCTTTGGGGACTGGGTAGAGCCCAGTAACTGCTGTATAGGTAACTGACATGATTTAAAAAAAAAAAAAAAAAGATCCCTTGGGGGCCTTGCCCCTGCCTCAGAAAACTCCACCTTGAGGGCAGCTGGGGACCATGCCCTCACTCCCTACCAGGTGGCAGGACAGACCTCCCTCTACCCCTCACCTGAGCCCCCAGGAGCTAGTCTGGAATCTGAATGGTCTGTACTACAGAAATGGCCTCTGAAAATTCTGGTGACAGGCTTTCCAGGAGGGTAGGCTGTCATGCTTAGTTAGGGTCAAGAAAGGGAAACAATAATTGTTTTGTGAAAACATGGCAGAGTTTGACAAAATGCCAGCCTTGGCATAGACAGAGTAAATTGTTCTAAAAAAAGATGGGAGGGGGTTGAGGTGGGTAGCTGGAGGGACAAAGATGGTGGTCAAGGTAGCATGCTGCTCCAAGAAGGCAGCTGGGCCTGAGTTCCTGAGAATGGCAACAATTCAGACAAAACAAGAAAACTTTCAGAATCTCTGTGAGGTGAAGTGGGCTAAATGGTCTACCTTCCCCTCCTCTTTGCTCTCAACTCCACCATCTCTGGTGGGGAAGTCTTCTATGCCCAGACACTCATTCAAGGAGTCCCCTTCTCCTTCCCTCCTCACCCCCTGCCCAGCCAGGCCAGGAAAAGATTGATCCCTGGGAAGCTAAGGCTGGTACAGGTACCACTACCCCAGGTGAGGGGGGCTGTGATATTGTGAAATAAATATTTGGTCTTGGAATCTCCTAAGTGATGTCTTTTTGTACGCTAATTGAGTTGATGGCTGATAGCCCTAGCTAGCTTCATGATGGGGGCTGCTCATCAGAAAGACCAAAGTAGGATTAGAGGGTTGGGATTTTCAGCCCACCTCTCAACCTCCCAGGAGGGGACAGGGACTGAAAAAAAAATTTTTTTTTTTACAGACAGGGTCTCTCCTTTTGCAGGAGCTAGAGTACAGTGGCGTGCTCAAAGCTCACAGCAACCTCAAACTCCTGGCCTCAAGCAATCCTCCCGCCTCAGCCTCCCAAAGTGCTAGGATTACTGGCATGAGCCACATCGCCCAGCCTGAATGTTAAACTGATCAACAATGGCCAATGATTTAATCAGTTGTGCCTATGGAAGTAAAACTCCACAAAAACAAACAAAAAAGAGATAGGGTTTGGAGAGCTTATAGAAAGCTGAACATATGACCGTTCCCGGAGGATAGCATACACAGGGAGGGCATGGAAGCTCCATACCCCTCCTCCATACCTGCTCCTATGTATCTCTTCATATGTATCCTTTATTTTTTTTTTTGCAATTATTTCCATAAGTTTATTCCATTATAGCATATATTCGTTTACCCACATATGTATCCTTCATAATATCCTTTATAATAAACTGGTAAGCATGAGTGTTTCCTTAAGTTTTAAGAGTCACTCTAGCAAATTAATCAAACCCAAGGAAGGATGCATGGGAACCCCAATTTATAAATGGTCTATCAGGCCTGGCGAGGTGGCTCATACCTGTAATCCTAGCACTCTAGGAGGCCGAGGCAGGAGGATCGCTCGAGGTCAGGAGTTTGAAACCAGTCTGAGCAAAAGCGAGACCCTGTCTCTACTAAAAATAATAGAAAGAAATTAGCTGGACAACTAAAAATATATAGAAAAAATTAGCCGGGCATGGTGGCACATGCCTGTAGTCCCAGCTACTCGGGAGGCTGAGGCAGGAGGATCGCTTAAGCCCAGGAGTTCAAAGTTACCGTGAGCTAGGCTGATGCTGCAGCACTCTAGCCCAGGCAACAGAGCGAGACTCTGTCTCCAAATAAATAAATAATAAGTGGTCCATCAGAAGCACAGGTAAAACCTGGGGCTTCTAATTGGCATGGAAAGTAGGGGGCAGTCTTGTAGGATTGAGCCCTCAAGCTGTGGGGTCTGACACTACCTGCAGGTAGATAGTGTCAGAATTGAACTGAATTAGAGGATACCCAACTGGTGTTGGCTGTTTGGTGTGTGGGGAAAAAACCCATATGTTTGGTCACAGAAGTCTTCTGATGTTGACTGATATGGGGTGAGAGCAGAGGAAAAACTGTTTGTTTTTTTTAAGGGGCCTAGCCTTAACAGTATCTGCATGCTTAGCACTGGGCCTGGCACATTGTAAGTGCTGTACAGACATTATCTCACCCATGAAAGGTCTAAGTTATCAAGACACCCATTATACAGATGAAGAAAAAAGCCTCAGAAGTTCAGGAACTTGACCAAAGACATAGCTGAACGCCAAAGTTTGTGCCTCTGACCATTACATTATTCTAGTTACCAGGGCTCAGTATATAAAAGAAGTTCCCTGCTTTGACAGTTCATATTCCTCTGGTTAAAAAGGCTCTTTGTTAAGATGTGGGGTGGAGAGGTCCAGTGGGTACCCAGAACAGGAACTAGCCCAGGCCATCTGGGTAAGGCCCCTGTCCCGGTCCTCAGCTGTCCACTCCTGTCTCGGAGTCATCACTCTGGATGCTGGCATTAGAGCTGCTGGAGGGCTCGTCCAGGGAGGCAGCCTCGGAAGACACAGCTAGCAGTCTCAGCTTTTGCTGTTTCTGATACTTGACCCTGCGATTTTGGAACCAGATCCTCACCTATAATTGGAGAAAATGGGCAGAGATCAGAATGTGACCAGCAGGTTCCAGTGCTCCCCAGTTCTTGGAGTGCCCACCCCTCCTCTGTCTGGCCAAAATTTGCCCTTCCTTCTAAGGGAAACACCTCCTCTGAAACACCCTTTTCTATAATTCCAGACACCACTCATTCATCCAATTAGTCTTTATTGAGCTCTTAGTATGTGCTAGACACCATCCTAGGTGATGATGATATAGTGGTTAGCAATAGTGGCATGGTCCCTGCCCTCGTGTAGCTCACGGTCTAATAGAGGGACATTGGTAACAAACATGTAAACAAAGAAATATATAAAAACAAATGGGATACAAACAGGGGTTTGGGTAGGGGGAGTCTCCATGAGGAACCAGGACTGAAGCTGAGGCTCAAAGTAAGAGAGGCCAGCCCAGTGGGAACAGAGAAGAACAGGCCAGTGGGGCAGGGGACAGCCTGTAGGAAGGCTCTGAGGTAGAACCAAGCTTGGAGTGTTTGAGGACCAGAAGAGAAAACGTGGCTGAGAGCGAGAGGGGATGCCACAGGAGGGAAATGGGAGAGGTCAGCAGGAGCCAGATCACCCAGGACCTGGAAGGCCACAGGTAAGGAGTGTCACCTGTGAGAATTTTAAGTGGGATGTGATGTAGTTTTATTTACATTTTTTTTTTTTTTAGGGACAAGGTCTTGCTCCTTTGCTTGGCTTTGCAGTGGCATTATAGCTCACTGCAACTGCAAACTCCTGGGCTCAAGTGATCCTCCTGCCTCAGCCTCCCAAGTAGTTGGGACTACATACAGGTATTCACCATCATGTCTGGCTAATTTAAAAAAAAAAGTTTTGTAGCAATGGGGTCTTGCTATGTTGCCCAAGCTGCTCTCAAATTCCTGGTCCCAAGTGATCCTCCTGCCTCAGCCTCCCAAAGTGCTGGGATTACAGGCATGAGCCACCACACCCAGCCTATTTACATCTTAATAGGGACAATGGAGAGAGATGAAGCCATTCCAGCCATATTTTGGAGGTAGAGGTGACAAAGCTTGCTGATGGTTGGAAGTCAGAGAGAAGGAGGAGTCTAGGATAGCTAGGTCTTTTGAACAATTGGGTGGATGGTGGGTGGTATGAGAAAGGAACAGATTTCGGGAGGAAAGCAGTCAGGAATTGAGATTTAGACTTGTTAGGTTTGAAATGCCTGAGACATCTAAGTGGAGACATCAAGAAGGTAGTGAGACGTATTACATAAGTCATAAGAGAGAAGGTTGGGCTGAGGATATAAATTTGGGAGTCATCAGCTTATGGATGGTACTTTAAGTAACGGGAGCAGGTAAGACCAGCTGGGGAGAGACTTTGAGGTTTTAAATGGAAGAGCAGCCTGCCAAGGAGATGGAAGTGGCCAGAGAGCTGGGAGTAAAACCAAGAGAGCGTGGTGTGCAGAAGCCCAGAGAAAAGTGTGTTTCAGTATGGGAAGGAGTGGCTGACCCAAGAGCTGCTGAGAAGTGGACTAAGTTGAGGAAAGGAAAGCATCTGTTGGCTTTGGCCACATGGAAGCTATTAGAGACCTTGCTGAGAAGTTTTGATGGAATGGTAGGGAAAAAAGTGTTGTTGGAATGAGTTAGGGAGTGAATGGGAGGTGAGGACACAGAAAGAGTGAACATAGCAAATTCTTGAGAGGTTTGCCCATGAAAGGGATAGAAAAATAGCTGGAGGGGAATATGGGAGTCAAGGGAATATTGATGATTTTTTAAAATATTGAGTCTCTTGAATATCTACTTAATTTTACTGATAGCTCCTTATTTAGCATGGAAGTACTTTATTATAAGTTTCTAGACTAATAATCTAAACTAACATCATATGTTGATCCTATATTGTGACTTCAAATGGAATTGTTTTTCTCATTATATAGGGGATGTGCAAAAAAGTTAGGGCCTGACTCCCCAACAGCCTGGTGCAGAGGGAGAGGGCCCCTGTCTTCCTCCCACCCCCTAGGGCCTTCCAGAGGTAGTGTCTGTCCCCAGGTGCAGCCCAGGCCCCACAGGAGTCCCTGCTCCCACCTGGTTCTCCGTAAGGTTGAGCTGGGCTGCCAGCTGGGCTCTCTTCTTCCCCACCAGATTGTGCTGTTTTGCAAACGCTTTCTCCAACTCTTGCAGCTGCTCCAGTTTAAACATGGTTCGGACCCTCTTTTGGTGTCTCTCAGTGTCCTGAATGTCCTTGGTTGGGACCCAGTCTCGGGAGCTCCAGAGGTCTGGGCAGGGAGCCAGCTCCAAACCTGAAGAACAACCAGCAGCAGGGGGGTGGTTAGCCAGCAGCTGCCTGCCCACCCATATTGGAGGAGAGAGAACACACCCACAAGTCCGCTACCCTGCCTTCCCCTTGGCCAGGTAACATGGCAGGAAGGCAGAGTGTAAAAAGACTGTGCAGGCTGGGCACGGTGGCTCACGCCTGTAATCCTAGCACTGGGAGGCCGAGGCGGGCAGATTGTTCGAGCTCAGGAGTTCGAAACCAGCCTGAGCAAGAGCGAGACCCTGTCTCTACTAAAAATAGAAAGAAATTAATTGGACAACTAAAAATATATAGAAAAAAAATTATCCAGGCATGGTGATGCATGCCTGGAGTCCCAGCTACTCGGGAGGCTGAGGCAGAAGGATCGCTTGAGCCCAGGAATTTGAGGTTGCTGTGAGCTAGGCTGATGCCACGGCACTCTAGCCCCGGCAAAAGGGTGAGATTCTGTCTCAAAAAAAAAAAAAAGACTGTGCAGAAATAACAGAAAACAAATGAGAAAGAAAGGGCAATGCTATGAGACTCCTTGCCTTCACTACTCCCCGACCAGTGGCTTAACTTCTGGCCCCTGATAGGAGTTGCCAAACCTCCCTTCTCCTTGCTCTCCTCTCCTCTCCTTGACTGCTTTGGGGAACCCCATGGGATGGGCAGAAGAGGCATCACCAGGGATTCACCCTCTTCATTCACTCAACGAATACTTTTTGAATGTCTGCTATGTGTCAAGCAGGGTTTCAAGACAGAACAGAAAATCTCTATCTTGATGGAGCTTACATCTTAGAAGTGGGGAAAACAGTAAACAAGGTAAAAATATAAAATATTTAGTATGTCAGATAGCAATAAGTGCTCAGGAGGGGAAAAAAGCAGGGAAAGGGGACAGGGTGAGTGTGTATGTGTGTTGGTAGCAGGTAGTTTACATCGTCAGAAAGGGTGTTGGTGATATTTAAACAGGTCCACTATGTCTAGCCACTCTGTAAATCTTGTGCCCTGCACATAGATATCCAGCTGGTAGGGTGCGTGGGGTCTAAAATTCTGCCTACTCTCTGTAGGCCCATTTTTGCCCCATGACAAGGTGCTATGTCTGTCTGGAGGAAAGGATGCCCTTTTAAAGGGACACAAAGCACTATTCAGCTTGCCAAGTTGTGGATCAGTGGAGATGCATCAATCAGGGGAAAGTACCTGAGTCAGGGCTCGATGGGGACGAGGGAGTGGGCCATTGGGCTATCTAGGAGGAGAGTGTTCTGGGCAGAGGAAGGGCAAGTGTGATGCTAAGTCCACTCAGCCCTCACCAGCCTTGGGGAGGCTTCAGGGCTGGCAGACAGACTGCTCCAATGAAGGGAGCAGGGCTGGGATCCTGACTGCCTGAGACTCCAATCACTGGGCCCACCAGGCTTACCATGTGCCTGACCAAGGCAGGACTAAAAGACCAGAAAAAGCCCAGCAGGCATACGGCCTGGTGTAGTCTGTAGTACCTAGTCTTTCCTGCCTTGTTGCAGAATCATAAGTAGTTATGACCCTGGAAGAAGAGATTAGGCTGTATTGTATATTCCTTAAGAGTTCTGGTTGGAATCCTAGCTCTGCCACCAGTTACCAGCCACAGGACCTTAGGCAAGTGAATATACTTCAGTGAGCCTTGATTTCCTCTTATGTAAAATGGTGACAATAATCCCTACTTTCAGAGATGTCGCAAGGATTTTAAAATATGGTACTTGTGAAGTCCTTACTACTGTGCCAGTACAGAGCAAGAAGAAAGTCAATGGTTGTTATAAAAAGTATAACAAAAGAGATAATGCAATAGGGAAGAGATGGATTATTTCTGGATGGATTAGTTCCAGAGCTAGGAAAAAATAAGCTAGATACATACCTAATACCATGCACCAAGAAAAATTCCAAATGGAGCAAATATTTAAATGTAAAAAGGCAAACCCACAAAAAATCTAGAAGAAACCAGGGGAGAATTATTTTATGACCTCGGAGTGGGGAAAGTCTTTCCAAATATGGTACAAGACATAGAACTCATTTATAAAAAGATACATTCAAACACATAAATATTTTAAAATTTTGATTTGTACAGATAGGGGGAGAAAAAAAGAAAAAGAAAAAGAAAAAAAAGAAAATATTTTTCTACATGACCTAAAAATGACCATAATCAGAGTCAAAAGGCCAATAAACTGGGGAGAAAAATATTTGCAATTCATTAGTCAAAGAGCTAATTTCCCAATATAAAAGAGCTTCTACAAATGGATCCTTTTAAATGACCAACCAGAAAAATGGGCAAAGTACATGAACAGATAGTTCACAGAAAGGGAAATATAAATGGCTGTTAAACATGAAAAGATGCTCAATCTCATTTATATTAGAGAAATGCACATTGAACCAACACAGAGGTAACATTTTCCTTTTATCAGATTGACTTAATTTCTAAAGTTGGATAACACATTGTGTTGGCAAAATTGTGGGGAAGGATAACACTCTTACACACAGCTGGTGAAGGGTAAAGGGGGTACCAGCTGTGTGGAGGGCAATCTGGCAAAACTGCATGAGTATATACCTTTTAACCCAGCAATCCCAGATATGCTAGAGTATCCTATGTGAGGATTGCAGCACTATGTATAATGCAAATGATGAGAAACAATCAATGGGGCCTGATTAAATAAATTATGATATATTCTTACAATGGACTACTCTGTGGTTGCAAAAGCTCTTTAGGGATTGGAAAAATCTCCAAGATATATGATCCAATGAAAAGAGTGAGGTGCAGAGTAGTGTGTCTGGTATGTGACAGGGAAATGAAGGAAAGAATATATATGTATGTGTGCGTATATCTATATCCAGGTATTAAATATGCATAAAATACCTCAGGAAGTAGGTGGCTAGGGGACAGGAGCCGGAGAGGACACTCTTCTTCATACATCTTAGTATACATTTGGACATTTGGACTGTGTGGCTATAACATCCATGCAAAAACTAACCTGAAAATGAGACAACTGTAATATAAAGTAGTAAACTGGCCGGGCGCGGTGGCCCACGCCTGTAATCCTAGCACTCTGGGAGGCCGAGGTGGGCGGATTGTTTCAGCTTAGGAGTTCAAAACCACCCTGAGCAAGAGTGAGACCCCGTCTGTACTAAAAATAGAAAGAAATTAGCTGGACAACTAAAAATATAAATAGAAAAAATTAGCCGGGCATGGTGGTGCATGCCTGTAGTCCCAGCTACTCGGGAGGCTGAGGCTGGAGGA